GAGAATCTAAAAGGACCAGGGGACTGAAGTTTATGAAGGATCTAAGGCAGGAGGCAGTGAGAAGTAGTGGAAGTGGTCACAGGTTTGTGGCCTAAAGGAGTAGAAGCCAAATATCATGAGGAAAAATTAAAATTTCAGGAAAGTAAAGAAGAAAAAAAATTTTTTTAATCAATAACTTTTTGAGCCACCTGAGTGGCTCAGTTGGTTAAGTGTCTGGCTCTTGATTTTGGCTCGTGTCATGATCTCATGGTTGGTGAGTTCGAGCCCCATGTCCGGCTCTGTGCTGACGGTGTAGAGCCTCTTGGGATTTTCTCCCTTTCCCTCTCTCTCTGTTCCTCCCTTGCTTCGCCTCTCTCTCTCTCTCAAAATAAATACATAAGCTTAAAAAATCTAAACTAAAATAAATCTTAGGAAGCAATGGATTCACCTCACTTAGTATCCAACTAAAAGGATAATGTTTTAATCTTTTTGTGATTTTTATCAGCTCCTGGAGTCCTATAAATTCCTTAAAAATGTAAACTTGGGGGAATAAAGAAGAGTATCATTTCAAGGTATCTGGTAAATTGCACGCAATTTCTCTTCATAAGGACAATGGGCCTGGGAAGCCTGTGTTCTGAGCTATGGCAGCAGAAGGTATTGCCAAAGAGCCAAAGTGACATGCCCTTCATAATCAGTCTCCATACATGCCTCTTGGACTGAAGAGCTGCACAGCCAGCACCATCCATTTTAGGGAGGCAAATGGAGTATAAATCACTCCTGTTGAGGATTTTTCATAGCAAATTTTTAAGCTGTCTGGTCCCTCTTATATATACTTTAGCATCTGTCATCTACTGTCAGCTGCTGGTGAGGGGAAATATTTTGCCTTCTCCTAGTCTCCACCTGGAAGGTGGAGCCCTAAGGCTCTATCATTTATTTTCTCTGTCATTGGTAAATTGGTAAGTTTGGTAAATATATCTGATCCATAGCTGAGCTCCACTCCTTTTTCCTTCTCTCAGAGCAGGACTATTCTTCTGATCTTCCCTGCCTTCCTACTAATTAGTGCTTTCCTGCCTTAATACTTAACCTTAAGTACTTGGTACTTAGTACTTCCCCAGGCAGAGACATCAGGCCTGTCCAGACCACCAGGGTCCAGGTGGGTAAATCAGGCTAATCCTGGTGTTCAGTTAGGACAAATACTTGGCACCCTATTAATCCATATCTTCCAACCTGACCTTTATTCAAAATAAAGAGGATTTTTTTAGACTTTATGCATTTTTTAAATGTTTATTCATTTTTGAGAGAAAGAGAGCACAAGCAGGGGAGGGGCAGAGAGAGAGCGAGAGAAAGAGGGAGACACAGAATCCGAAGCAGGCTCCAGCTTGCTGTCAGCACAGAGCCTGACAGCAGGGCTCAAATCTACCAACTGTGAGATCATGACCTGAGCCCAAGTCAGATGCTTAACCGACTGAGCCACCTAGGTGCCCCTAGAGTTTACACAGTTTATTTAAAAATTTATGAAATTGTTGGGAAATTTGGTGGAAAAGATGAGTACCCTGAATGGAAGCCCCTCAGAAATTCTAAGAAGGGTGTTCAAATATGATGAATTTATTTTAACTCTAACCCAAATGCCACATGATTCAAAAAGTCTTAACCTGTTGACTTTGTGTGGGCTCCAAGGAGTCCAAGGACTCCCTGAAAATTTATAGAAATCTTTGCATATAAGTGCACTTTTCTGTCCCTAAGAAAGTTTAAGAAAATCTACCTAATTATTGACAGTAATAAAAAATCTAAATAAATCACAATGCCAGGTATTTTCAGCAATAATAATTTTAGATTATTCTTACTACCTCAAAGCTCCAAATTTATAAAATTAAAATTTGACTCTATTCTCACTGTTAATGAATATAAGGCTTAGCTAAGTATCTCATACAAGAAAGTCTATTATTTGTATCAGTCCTATAGCAGTCAGTTTGTTTTGCTTGGTTTTGTTTTTGTTTTTTCAATAGCTCCTCGGCCAATTCATTACCATCCTCAGGATAAATAAGCTAAGGAATGAGCTTTGTTTGTATTGTGAGGAAAGGCCAAATATTGAACAGTTGGCTGCAAACTAAAAGTTTACCATAAAGACAGAGTAAAGGACTCCAACTCCCACAAAATCTTTAATTCTGGGTAAACACACACACACACACACACACACACACACACACACACACAAAGTACAAAAAATGTCCTGGAAAAAACTGCAGGCTTGCACCATGGGCAGGTCTAGATTCCACAATTGAGAATTTAATGTAAAAATCTACCTCAAACCAGTGATAACCTGAGCAGAACCAATAGTAATGAATCTCTCCCCCCCACCAAAAAAAACCCCACTTGTTTCCCACTTTACAAACAAACAGCTAAAAATGAGCCAAACATTAAAAAATTACAAACTTCACAAAGAAGCAAAGCACCCTAAGGGAGAGTCAGCAGATGCGACCACAGGAACACCTCCAAGAACCCAAGGCATTAGAACAACCTGAGACTCTACATAGTTGGTATGCTAGAAGTTATTAAAGGAAGGATAATAATAGCTAACATGTATTTAGTGCTTGATTTGCAAAAATATAATCACTGACATTAATGGAGAGGTTAAGCAGCTTGGACAGATGTGAAGAAACACTAGAATTGAGCACAGAAAATGCAATTATAAAAAGTATGACAAGAGTTTAATAACTAGACTATATAATTGAAAGGCACACCCACCCAGGTAGACAAAGAGAGACAGGGAGAGGACCTTTTTAACTTTGAGTTTCAGAAGAAAAAGGACTCGGGATTGAAGAAAGATGTTAAAGCCTCAGATTTAAAGGGCTCTCTGAGCACAAAACAGGATAAATAGAAGGAGACCCACACTTGGAAAAATGGTAGTGACCCCGCAGTATATCACAGATAGAGAAAACCTTACAAGTAACAAAAACAAAGAATGAAAGACAGATTGCCTGCAAAGCTATAACATTCCCAATAGCAACATTCATAATGTCTTCAGAGTCCTAAAGTTCTAGTTCCAGCTAAGCTATGATTGAAGAATTAGAGTGTAATAATAAACACTTTCAGAAAAACAAAGTTGGGGCACCTGGGTGGCTTAAGCGTCCGACTTTCGCTCAGGTCATGATCTCGCGGTTCTTGGGTTCGAGCCCCGCGTCGGGCTCTGTGCTGACTGCCAGCTCAGAGCCTGGAGCCTGTTTCAGTCTGTGACTCCCTCTCTCTCTGACCCTTCCCTGCTCACGCTGTCTCTCTCTCTCTCTCTCCTAGAAAAAAAAAAAAAAAGTTAAAAAAAAAGAAAAGGAAAACAAAGTTGAAAAACAAATGATCATTTACAGATCTTTATGGAAAGAATTAAAAGATAAAGAAAACTGGACCAGGAAGGAAGGAATAAGCTGAAGGAAAAGTGAGCCATGTCATGGGTAAACACGAGGTAAATTTAGATAAATATGTTCTTTAAAAAAACAAACAAAAAACAAAACATTAAAGGAGGATTACAAATAAGGTAGACCTAAAATACTGGGGTGGGGGGGATGATATTGAAAATTAAATGAGGAAAGTAGAATTAAAGTTCTCAAGAAAGGTAGAGATATCACTGTGGTCTTTGTTAAGTTCTTAATACACCATGGCCCCCCTCTTTCTTGGTTCATCCCAACCAACCTCCTAAAATACCTCCCTAGAGGTATTTAGAGCCAGGAAGAAGATGACATGCTCTTAGAACAGTCTCTAAACAGATACTGAAATTAATAACTCAATTGGGTTCATTCTGCTGTTAAGGACCCCAAGGATATGGGGAGGGGTACAGTAGGTTTTCTGACAGAAAGTAGTTAGGAATGAAGTTTGGAGGCATTACTCCCACACACACAAGCTGTGTGCCTCCACATGCAGGTTTTAGGAAATGAGGGCAGAGAGAGATTAAATGTCTGGTTTAGCCAGTGAGTTGCATAGCCAAGATTAGAACTCCAGGCTCCCTGAACCACTTCCTCTGTGTCATGCTGTTGCCTTATTTCCTGTTTTTCCACTCTGGCTAATCATTACATGAAATTTGAAAACCAGTCACCGGGCTGAGGAATGCAAAGCCTTCAGGTAATTAAGGATGTTGTCTATAGAGCCAAGAGAATGCGTTCTATATGTAAAATATTTCCCCATATATAAAATAAATAGATGTGAACTCTGGCCATCAGGGTTAATATCCTGCTTCATTTTGCATTTGGCTATTAATTTCATCAAAACTACACATGTTTTGAATGAGGCATGCTGACATTTCTCCTGTTCATTGTTGGTTTTAGTTTTTCAACAAAACTTACTGCTTGAAATAGTAAGAAATGAATCCATCTATCAATAAACTAATCCAGAACCTATATATTTTTGCCAGTCTTAAAATATCTACTTATCATTTTAACAACATGTAATGTAAATAAATACACCTTTTGTAAGAACTGAGGCATTTAATTCTTCCTGTCAAGAGGCAAACTGAAGACATATCCTAGCAGATGGCTTGTTCTGCTGTATTCACTTGTTATGTGTTCATTACTGCTACTTGTACATTTTTGTACTTTACACCAGAGACTGGTAAACGTTTTCTGTAAAGGACCAGATAGTAAATATTTTCAGCTTTATGAGCCATACGATGTTGATTGCAATGACTCACCCATCCACTCTAGCAAGAAAGCAGCCATGGATGGTATATAATCAAATGAGCGTGGCTAGATCTGGCCCCCGGCTGTATAGTTTGCCAGTTCTCTGCTCTACAGGGCAAACCGCATTATGTGGCAGGACAGGATGGCCCGCCAAGTGAAGAACATAGTTTAAACCGGGTGACTGACATTTTTGCATTCAATTAAACTTACTTCATCTCTTTTCTCTGTAACTTGTTTGTATGTCTTATTTCACCGAGAGTGTGAGCTTTTTTTAATGATAAAGACAATAATTTATTAATTTCCTACTCTCCCTGAACTTCATATAGGCGACCTTTCCCAGAGGAAAGAGCGTGGGCTTACCTGTCAAACCGACTGGAGTTCAAATCCCAGTCTTGCCATTGATCAGCCGTGTGATACTGGACAGGTTATTGGCTTTTAGTCTCCATTTCTTCATCTGTAAAAACAGATGATACCTACTTCATAGGAGAATTAAATGACATGTAATGGGAATAATATATATATATACCTTCTGTAAGAATTAAGGTATTTAATTTTTCCTGTAAAGGCTAAAGACATATCCATTACAGTAGATGGCTTATTCTTTATAAACCACGTAGTACCTGATGAGTCCAACTCCAGGTCAAAATCCTATGTGTGATCTTTCAGGCCCAACTATGAACCATTAACAAGACTTTGCCTGTCAGGCCTTATGGGGGAAAGCCGTTCTCTCCACACTGTCATGCGGACACGATAGGTTACAAAGAGGGCATCTGAATTTTAAACAGGATATACTCATTTTATAGATCCACTTTAAAAACAAGACTTTTCTTTATAACTAACTACCATAAAGTAGGAGGTAATGGCCTCATCACAGGGAGAATTCAAAGACTCAATTGATGAAAGACCTCACATTTTTCTCCACAAGGCTCTCTTGAGGATGATGCTTGAAAAGGAGTATCAGTATATGGTCACAGGACGGTGACAGTAGAAGTTCCCTGGCTCCCTTCAGCTTAAAGTGTGTTACCGTATAAGGTGGTGGTAATTGTTCCCATTCACATCCACACAAGCCCCGTATTTGCATTCTAAGATGATGTAACAGCCACTGCTTGTCATTTTTATGTGAATTACTTATTCAACAAGAGCTTGAAGAGCTAATACAGATTTCAAACTAATTTATTTGGGGCGCAGCTGTTTACCAGTCCAATGATAGAGGAAAGGTGTTCTATCGTAATCACTGTGGTCTATGGGGTGTCTCAAGTGTATTGTACAGAATTTACAACCCCAGGATTACAGGGTAGGAAGCAAGCAATGGATGATGAAGGCAACCTTCCAGGCTCTGTTTGTTTGTTTGTTGCTTAGTAAGATGAAAGGGGATTTTTGTAGAATAAAAACAAATGAGGTGCCTTTCAATTTCTAAAGCACTGCAGTGTGTTACTTTGGTTAGGACAATGATGATCTAAACCCTAAGGGTCACAGAGCCAAGACAAGAGGTCACACTGACAAGGAGCAAAAGGGAGGTTGTTAAAAGGATTCTTGATCAATGAGAACATTCTGCTGTGGTTTCATTTTTCTCCCGGATATTATAGAACAGATAAAGTGAAATTTGAGAAAACAGAATCTCCCAGTGCCTATGGGAGAGGATACAACATGCTATATAACATCAAAGAGACACAATTGTATTGCAATTTGTGAGCAGTCAGGGAAGAAAACTTGTTTTAGTCCTGACAAGATTACAGAGCACATGACAAGTGAGAAAAAGACTAAAAGTAAGCAATGAACACCTAAAGAAAAATAGAAAGACTTCCAAAAGATTTCGTCTTTGTAGATAATCAATTTGGGGCTCACTCTCACTGCAGCTGAATTCCTTGAGCACCTTTATCCCCAACCTATTCAAAATGCTTCTGGGGCACCATCCCTACCAAAGAAGCCATCCGCAGTGGCTGTGAAAGAAGCTAATTCCATAGTAGCCAGCAGGTAATGAGCAAAGTAAATCAGCTTGAGGAAAGATGTACAATGCATTCTACATCAGACATAAATGATTTTTAGAATACCCATGCCCTTTTGCTAGCTTTAAGTTGAGAGCTTACAATTTGTATCTAAATATTGCTACTGTCAGAGATCTGCTCACCGATTCTAATACCTACCAGTGCTTGAACACCTTGGCACTTTTATTCACCTCATTTCATCTACATCCCAGTCACTCAAAGTAGGTTTTATGTCCATTTAAAAATGAGGAAAAATTTATGGGGCATCTGGGTGGCTCAGCTGGTTAAGTGTCCAGCTCTTGGTTTCAGCTGAGGTCATGATCTCACAGTTTGTGGGTTCGAGCTCCATACGAGTCTCCATGCTAACACATTGGAGCCTGCTTGGGATTCTCTCTTCCTCTCTCTCTGCCCCCTCCCAGCTGTGTGTGTTTGTATCTCTCTCTCAAAATAAATAAATGAACTTAAAAAAAATTCTTTAATGAGGAAATGCTTTTAAATAAAAAATTAAATTAATTAAGTTAAATTAAATTAAATTAAATTACAAATGAGGAAAGTGAGCCTCTGAGAGATTTGGAAAGTGACTGGACACAAAAAGTTGTAACTTGTAGAGCCAAGATTCAAGACCCAGGCTGTTGATGCCAATGTGTATGTACTTTCAACCCTCAGAATCCATCAAAATATTTCTCAGTACTGCTTTACTGCAACAGAGTGATGCTGACTTCTTGACAGGACACATGCAACATGTTAGTAACTATCAGCCACACACTGACTCCCACTCAAAAGGGATTTCGGTCTTAAATTATCAATTGTTCAAGAAAATCCTAAATAGACTGCATTTGTGAAAGGCATAAAACTTGGAAAGAATGGAAACCAAGGAACTGGTTTTCTTGTGCTGTTCTTTCTCTAGCAGGATCAGGACAATAACGTGCCTTCCTTCCCAGTCCCCTTCTACCCCGCCTCCCTCTCTGGCCACAGAAAAGTCTCCAGTTCAGTTTGACCTGCTGCCTTCATAGAACCCAATCCACTTAGCTTCTGCTAGAACTCAGTTTTCTCCAGAATTTTCTCAACCCATGTCTAGGGCAGAATTTTCATTCCTAAAGGGCTTAGGAGCAGCTATCTTAACAGAAAGAGACAATTGAACCTCCAGTATTATAGCGCTTTATATAAAACAGAAAAAGCATAATTGTCTGTACCCACAAGGAAGGTTAAGAGCCCCCAGACCTCTTTCCTGGGAGGGCCTCAGTCTCATCTCTGCTTCACTTCTTTCACTTGCTGCTTCCTATCCTCCACCTGGACCTGGATCCTGTTTTTCTTGTTCCACTATTTACATTGTCAATCTTGGTAAGATGTGGAAAGAAAATGAGGTCAGGGTTATGTGGCAGACTTCAGACCCCACCCTAGACCCAGCAACTCAGCCTGCAGTGATAGACAAAGCCTAAAGAAAGAGTCATCCGTTCGCTTTGCTTCTCTTTCCACTCTGCAGGGTTATTTAAAATGTTTGCTTTCACTGATCCATGCATTTTTATTATCAGACAGTTGTTTACACAGACTAAGAACACAGAGACTGTCTTTTCAGCTCAATGTGTCAAGAGACCAAGGTCATCTTTTCTTTTGGCTGCCACTACCCTGTGCCCTCTTCTGTCTTCGACTGGCACAGGATCAGGCAAAAGGCTATGATTCAGAGCTCTCCTACATCACACACATGACAGGGCTGAATGTGGGGCTCTGCAGACAGCCTGTCTGCCCCTACTGAGCAGCAGTGTGACCTTGTAGGAGGTACTGAACTCCTCTAGGCCGCAGCGGCCCCATCTGCCCAATGGGAGATATTAATAGTCCCCCTCTCATAGAAGCATCGTGAGGATGAGATTAAAGAATCCATGTGAACTGCTTAGCTCAGTACTTGGCATTGTGTGTGCTCAATAAATGACTGCTGCTCTCATTACTCCCAAAGGGCCTTTTTCTAAAGTCTTTGCTTAGAAGAGGCCTGGGAGTCGTGGTGCTCAGATTTTAACAAATGCTCAATAATAACTGACACCTTCTTTGAAAGAGTTGAGTAAAGCTTGTTTCCAGTGCAGCTGACACTTGCTACTACTGGCTCTTGCTGGGAGCCCAGAGAGATATGCTCTCTTCAAGGGCCAGCCTCACACATAGATGAATGTCTCTAGTTCTATCTAGATCACCCAACCCTGTGAAAGTCGGTCTTCCACCCATTTTGACCGCTGAAATCTATGCGAGGGCAAAGCCCTTCATCTCTTAATTGAAGACAATGTTTAGATTCTAAAAAATTCCCTTACTGTACATGCCCTGGACACAGATGATCCTTTCTTTCCTCCTAAAAGTCTCAGTACCATCATAGCAAATGAAGAGCTAGAAGCCCAAGGTGGTGGAGTGGGGGGTGGAGGGTGGAATTGTATGCTGTACATTCTTATGTGTCTGAATATTTAGATAAACAGCAGCATCTCTCTTCCTGTTGCAAATTCTAAATGTTAAGTGTGGTGGGAAAAGTTTCTTCTCTTCCCCTTGTCATGGTTAACCTCATATCAACATAAACAAGGAGAATCAGCTGTGTCTGGTCTTAAGTGAAAACTCAGAACAGAGACTGACAGATAAGTCCATGCACATGGTGCAAGGAGAAAAATACTGTTTTGGTGAAAGACTCAAGATATTCTCCAGGTCAACCCCGACGATCTCAGTTAATAAAACGTCACTGATCAAAGCAGAGACTAAATGAAGAAAGAGCATGAGGCTGACAGGGTGGAGTGCAGGGACAGAGAAAACAAGGAAAGGAAGAAACGGGAGGGAGAGGCTGCTGAGACACAATGATCTCTGCACCATTAGACTGTCACACAACCCCACTCCATGTGAGGATGCAAGATGTGCACATGTGTCAAGCTCTTCTCTGTGAAACAGGACTCCTTGGTAAGGTCTGAAGAAGCTCTTCAAAAAAGTAGCTCAGCTACAGTGTCTTTATTTCCCCACAAAAGCCAAGAGAGTTGGACTAAAGATGAACAGTTTAAAGTTTTAGGAACCAGAACAATTGAGGGAAATATTAGGTAGTTTTCTTAACAGCTTTAAAATTTTTTTTTTCAAAATTTATTTTTGTGAGAGAGGGAGAATGCAAGAGGGGGAGGGGCAGAGATGCAGGAGGTGGGGCAGAGGATCCCAAGCAGGCTCTGCGCTGACAGCAGAGAGCCAGACTAGAGGCTCAAACTCACAAATGACCTGAGGCAAAATTGAACTCTTAACCAACTGAGCCACCCAGGTGTCCCTTTCTTAACAGCTTTTAATGAGGGCTTCACTCTAGTCATAAGATTCTAGACACTACCTGGATAGTGACAATGAGGCTTAAACTTTTTGAGAAAATCTTTTTCTCTGTCATTTACACAGTATACTTGTTCCTTGTATCTACTTTGGGGGGGCGGGGCTGTGAAGGAATGGACCCTGCACAGATAAATGAATGTCCAGCGTT